GGAGGAGGAAATCAGGAAGAAGCGTTGGAAGTGGATAGAACACACATTGAGGAAAGCACCCAACTGCGTCACAAGACATGCCCTCATATGGAATCCTGAGGGCCAAAGGAAAAGAGGAAGACCAAAGAACACATTACGCCGGGAAATGGAAATAGACATGATAAAAATGAACAAGAATTGGATGGAATTAGAAAAGAAGGCCCAGGACAGAATGGGTTGGAGAGTGCTGGTCGGCGGCCTATGCTCCATTGGGAGTAACAGGTGTAAGTAAGTAAGTATTTATATAGGTTACCATATCTATTCATAGTTAATTCACAAATTGGTGTTGTTTATTAGCATATATTTTACGTAAACAGTAATCAATGTTCCATAAAGTTTGATTATGGAAGTTAACAATAGGATTAAAACAAAGTTTTCTAACCAATAATGATAAATTTAAGAATTGATTGATGCTATGAAAAATATGAATATTATCAATGATTGATTACAAAATAAGTTTAATAATTGATATATGTGAAAATAATATTTGAAACAATCTCAGTGATTGAAATTTAAATAATTCCAACGTTTCGTCCAGTCAACTTGTCTGGACTTCTTCAGGGTAATTGATAGTTTCTATCCAAAAACGTTCACAATATTAAAATATTTCAAAAATGCTATTATATATATATATATATATATTCAGAGTTTATAAGTATAACTTACTTTAAGCTTTTGACAACGTTCCTATATTTTAAAATGCATGGTATGTTTACTGTTTTAAATTCGGTATATTTTTTGTAAGTTAAGATTATCTATTACATTTTTCTTTAAATCTATGAAGTAAACTGTCGTGTGAATACTACTGAAATCAACATGAAAGTTTTGTAATTACAAAATATAACAAGCAGAAATGAAAACGTAATTCAACTGTCAAAATATTCGAGTTGTACTGGTAATTGCAAAAACTAATCAGAAACAAAACTAATCGTTATGAAAACAAATTATCATTTAATTATATTTATACTGTGAAGGATTTGTGGTTTATAAGAGAGAAGTGATTTTGTATCTTATACTTTACAAGTAAGTTAAAATGCAATACCTTTCAATAGCGTGTGATTTGAACCATTCGTAAATGTTGCTTTACACTCTAAATATAACTTTTTTTTAGCTATTTCTAGATTGATATCATGAATGGATCAATGTTAGACCACAATTAAAAACCTGGAAGCACTGGACGACTGTTTCGTCTTAGTATAGGACTCCTCAGAGATGCGAACTCTTAAGCTGTTCACAGGATATTGGACGCGCGCCGCTGACGAGTCCCACACTGGGACGAAACAGCCGTCTAGTGCTTCCAGGTTTTCGATGGCATTATAACGTTCATCCATTCATGATACCAATCTAAACTCAACGATCTCCATAACCCTACACAGATTGCTAAATACAACCTCAGCCTGATGTGATTTGTTATGAATACTATTTATTGAAAATTACTGGTCCAGATTTCTTGTACCGGTGAAATAAACTGATCAGAGGTACAATTTTTTATTATCAGTTTGTTCTGATCAAACAAACATTCTAGATATAATATTAAGTTATTGAGTTTTTATTCTCTTATGAATGATACCGGTTGCAGCGATTCGTCTAAAAATCAGTAATTTATAATCGTTGTAATAAAAATTCCACAGGGTACGAAAACATTTCACATTTGTCAGATAGTTATAAGATCTATAGGAAATCTGGAAAGTGAATTGTCAACGTTTTACAACAATTTCTGGAAGATTTTTCGCGTAGTCACACTATACTGTCTGGCGATAGTGAGTATTTAATATAGACAACAACTGCATGAAATTGACATGCAAATAACAAGCGAGTAACAATATGAAACACAAATATTTTTGATATTTTTCTCTAATGAAAAGATTTATGAATATAACTATGACGCTAATATAACTACTCATCATATTTTTCTGTAACTTACTCAAATGACTAACATCAGAAATCAACTCAAACTAGTCAATTTTCAAAATGCTAATTAATGCGTTTTGATGGGTGTCTGACTGTTTCAACCGAATATTTAAATCTATTACAAGTCTGTTACTGAGTGGAGTGAGATTTAAAGAAGTAACAGTAGGTTTTCGAACTCTATCAACGGATTAGGAATAACAAAAACACCATATTTAAATAAACAGCTTGTTGAATAAGACCATTTTTCTAATAAATAAAGTCGTGTCTATAACTTATTGCAACATCTATAATTAACTGTTTTACATGTTTTAAAATAGTAGTCTAGATCATAAAAAATCAACTGATTGTGTTAGAGTTTATTGCAACACTAAAATGGTTATCGTTACCACAACTCCACTGCAAAACAATTAAGTGTAAATCGAGAGTGTCGCAAACAGGCAACTGAAAACAAACACCACCTACATACTATGATAAAAGTTACTAAGTTGGAGAAAATAGTAGACTGCCTGCAAAATCATGAGTAAACATGTCATTTTTTATTGTTCATTTTAAAACTGAAATATTTTTTTGACAGACTCAATCGGACACTTCGAATGAACATATGAAGCTTCAACAGATATATGTCAAGTCCTCATTGTCAAAAAGTGCAGAAGAATTGGTTTATCAGATGTCACTGATTGACAAATATCCGTTTTTATGCACCTTGGATGTAAGTTATTAAAGTTTGGTAGGCTTATGATGTATGGATGTGAAAGTAAAGTATGTTTGGTCACTGAACGTGGATAAACAGGCACTTAGCATACGGACTGTTAAATATGTGATTTGTTTTCCTCTCATTGATTTCTACTCCACACTCACTGAGAGTGACAGCTTGTAATTGTCTTTAATAGAGTACTATTAAGCTTATACTCTATCTATTCCGGATCGTGAATCCTGATTCTGATATAATATGACTAGCCCCATTATCGTATTATAGTATCGTATAGTATCGTATTATAGTAGCAGTAGCTGAGCGTATGAGAAAAATATTCGAAAAATATCCGTTATATGAGTTTATTAGAATCATCAAGCAGGGATGAACAGGCATATTTAAGATAAATTAATTTTATTCAAATCACTGTAATAAATAATTACTCATTGTTTTTCTGCAACATACTTAGGAGGACAAACCAATTCCTATATACCAAAGATTATTATCTTAATATTGATATTTCACCTATTGTATGTAGAGCAATTTACAGCCCATTTTGTATTTCACTTTCTATATTTATGCTGTTATTGTAATGGTCTGACAATATCAGAGCCGTCAGTTTATTGAGCATTATACAGTGTGAGTAAAAATTGTAAAAACAAAATGAAATTTTTGGGATCTGATGATACTGCTTAACTTCGTTAAAAGAGAGCACTTAAAATATAACAATAAAATTCTGATCATTGTATTCAAACATGCAGCGTTGAGTTCTGTTGGCAGTATGACATTTGACAGTTATTTAAACGTTGATTCCCTTATCAATGAAATTATGCATATAGGAGTCCTGTCAAATAACAGTACGACCAGCTTGCAGAATGTAAACGGACTTATCTTTGTGAAGTAAACTCTTCTGATTGACCAAGATATTTATACGGACTTTATATTCATAGCTCTAAATGCCTTTTATAAATGTATTTCAGACAGAACATGAAAATTGTGTTAATGGCATGAATATCTATCGGGAGTAAACAACATTGAAATGGTGGACGGAATAAAGGATCCACAAGTTGATTTTTCTGTTGCTTTCTCATAGTAATCAAGTATGATAGTTTTAATTTGCAGTATCATGTTTGCTAAGCGTAGTCGATGTTTCTTTGAGAACACTTCTGGTGGTGTTAGATGCTATTTACACGATCGTAAAAGCTTAATATAAGATAACTCAGAGGATTTACATTCAACATTTAACACTCAGAGAAGGTCAGTAATGGTGAACACAGGAATATTAAATCTGTACGGCATGACTCGGCTATGCAGGTGTGTTCGCTCCATGTGACCTCTTGCCTTTCATACTAACTATATTATCCTCTTCTCAGTCTAAATGTATTATTCAGCATAGCCCAGCAGCAACAATTTACTACCAAGACAGAACGAGTCAGTGTAGATAATGATATGACTTCCACGTAAGGTCTGATAGGTTAGGTAGTCACATCATGGCAGTTCTAAAATTTTGGATGGGGTATGCTATTCTAGTAGCACAGATAGGCCTACTATTTTAACGAACGATGAACTGAGGTAAAGAAGACCAATTTATTGTGCTCCCATAAAATTTGAAGACCATATATGACATCATCTGCACACCTTCGAGCAGTTGTCTCTTAAAATCTTCATTGTTCCTTCATTGCTGTTGTTATTTTGATTGCTTTCAGTTTTCTTCCCTCTTCTCTTCATTTCAATTTTCTCAATCTTCTGCTGGCATGCAATCCACTTCCAATTGGTGCCACTAACTACTTATATCTGTCAACATAAGTAGTATACACCACACTATTATTGACCTAGATCTTAATCATGGACATCTGTCGTGTAATTGATATTATGCTTCTTAAAGCAGTATACTGCTCAACCTTTGACAACTATGTAAAACACAAATATTTATCAATGTTATTCGATCTATTCATTCTTCAGTATAATAAGTCCAATAGCTAAAATAAATCTGTGTAATCATAGGTGTAAACAAACAGTCAGCAACCAAAAAAATTCTTTATAGTAGAAAGCTTGAAGAATTTGAATCACCAGCTAAGCTTCACACATACGGGTTAATTTCTAAATTAGTAACTTATCTTATTATCAATGTTTAAATAACATTAACAATACATGTCTATTGAATCAGTATATCTGTAGTATGAATACAAACACCAATAAACATGTTGCGTCTTTCCGATTGGTTAACCAACGAGATGTACTTTAAGCTCTAAAGATAATACAAAGGTCTCATAAAATCCTAACTAAAATAGTGTAGGTAATTATTTAGACTCTTAACATTTGAATTTATTAGTCGGAGTTTAATTATATTCCTATCATAATGATGTATATGGCACAATTCCAACTAGTGATCTCGCTGATTATAATTAATATAAATTATAGTAAGATCATTTATTAAAGTTTCATTTCATTTAATGATGTTTTAATTATACAGAATACGCACAGATTTTGATTTTATTATGCTTAGTGATTTCAGTCATTCGATAATTTATGTTGTTATTTATAATTAACAGTCAGTTCCATATTCATTGGTAAGCTTGAATAGATAATGATCAGCAGTCTTTCAGTTCAGTATCTACTGAAGTTAACGAGCATATTCTGACTGTAATTAGTTGAATAAAACCACATCATTATTAGGTGTAATAATTCTTCAAATTTATTTCGAAATATTTGATTAATTGATGGACACTAGATTCGAAGCCTTGAAACATTTAATGTTACAGAAAGCTATTGTATATCTGTTTTATGATAATTTGATTTTGCCTTCTTATAGAATCTCAAAGTGATTTCTTTAAGTAATAATCTCAATGTTTTGGCGTTTTTCAGTTCATTCATCTAGTAGGACACTAGTTACATTCCTAAATTACTGACTCAATGTTAGAATTAACAATAATCGCTGTATCCATTACTATATAATGGGTTGTAGTAAGCATCTTTTTAACAATAAATTTTGTTTAAATGAGAACTTTATACGGTATGATCCAAACAATATTTATAAGTAATTCTATACTACAGTGATTGCTTACCAAATATATATTTACACTCGAATGTTTTCGACAATTCTACTTCAATAATTTTTTTCGACTGCATAACTTAAATGCTTTATATGCATGGAGTAACATCAAGTAGTAAATAGGAAGTGAGATATAGTAATCACTTCGGTGTTCCGATTAGAATTTGGCACCATTTATCATGATATCGTTTGAATGGTTTGCATTAAATCTCAGAAATAAATAATATAATTAACAGACTTGATCAGTTAGATGGTAAGTAGGTGGCCTAGAGAAAATAGTAGGCAACCGACTTATGTATAGTTTATTAGTTCAAAGGTGAACTACACAGATAATGCATTCCTGACTATTTTTTGAACCAATTTGTTTTAAACAATTTGAATTTCGACTTAATCGTTCATATAAAGAATCAGTATTCTTAAGGCTTCCCTACACTATAAAATTCAAGAATACATTTATCCGTAGTACCTCGGAAGTTGGTTAAATGAAGTGAATCTACTTATAAAATATTTTAAGAAAACCAGCTTACATGAAATAACCTACCTGTCATTTGTCGTTATTAAGAAACAATTGCACTTTGCATGTAATCACATTCCTAATTAATAAACATATCCAAACTTATAAAATAAATTAAGAAATATAGATCATAATATTTGACTACTGAAAAATTAATCAGCAACTAAATACAAGCTACAATTTTTTTCGGAAACTAACTGTACTTAGAATATAAGTAGGTAAAATAAGTTCTGCGAAGAAAGGTAAACCATTAATTGATTTCCAGTAAATTTTCAATTTCTAAACTTTTGTTCCTCAAACTTTACTATATATGGTGTGCTGTGACAACTTTCACCCTTTTTTATTCATTTGTACTAGAGTATATTTCATCAAAATTCTTAGTACGAATAGTATTATTATATGGTTTCATTTTATTTGTATTCAATAAGATTAACGAAATGTTATATGGATTGCAATCAAAGCACTAATTAAAGTGTTGAGATAGGTGAAGAAATTGGATTATGCTAGAAGATACAAGAGAGGACGTTTTATTTCACAACGATACGGGGTTTGAGGTCTATTTGATATAATTACATTTCCAGAATTCATATACTGACCATTTTGTATGAGGCTGAGCAATAATCATTCGTTCGAATTTTTTTTCATTGCAGATAACACTGAAGCCACATAATAAATATGAGCTATAGGTTATCCACTAAACATTCTGTTATTTTCAAGCTGTTTTAATATCCATTTCAGATTAATCTGAAATCTTCACAAGGTTGAAATAGCCTTGGTAATCGATTGTTTTACGGAAGGTTGTCATGTCGAAATCTGAGTGAATGCTTTCAGTCAATTTACTATAACTATTGGAGTCTGTAGGAACTAATATTTATAGAGAAAACAATTTTCATTTGTCAAATTTACAGTAAAAATAAGTCAAATATGATCCTTAAATAAAAATAATAAGACAAATGTCCCATAGATGGTTATTGAGACTTTAACACAAAGTATCTACCCGTTCAAATAAAGCTAGAGGGATAAGGTTTTTCAAAATTAAGGGATTTCATCATATTTCGTGCCTTCATATCAGCTACAAAGTTGAAAGCAAACAATGACAGGTTTAAGGTCAACAAGAACCAATCAACATCGAGATGTACAGGACAAGCTGTCAACCACATGTAGAGAAATCCGAACACTTCACTTCCATGTTAAGTTTGCGCTGATGATGTCGTTCAGAAGAACGATGAAAGCTCCACGACTAAACCATCCAGCTCAGAGAACAAAACTCCATCAAAAGTTGGCAACAATACAGAAATCTGTCCACTAGAACAGATCGGTTGGAAAATGTCGATAGAACAATGAGAAGACGGAGCTGATCTGAAAAATGTGATGTATTAGTTGCTGCAAGTGATTAGTATATGAATACTGAGTACGCAGTTATATAAAGATGTAATATCATAAATAATGATTAAAGGGAAAATCGAAAAATATTCAAACAAACAAATGATTTTATAATCAAGCTACTTAGGAGAGCCAAAATCAAAATTAACATTGTGAGTGAATAGCAGTGGAATGTTAAAAAAATATAAAATAAAACTAAAACGTGTTATGCCATTACTACTATTTAACAAACCTACTAGAGTTTCATCACACTTGAAGGTGTAACGAAGAGTAAAATCTGGATTTATTTCATAATAATTAGTTAAAAACATCTTTGTTATACTCTTGTTATATCCAATATCCTCAAAGTGCCTTATGATCTCACCTGTGAACAGTTTTACTTTCTTTAAAACAGTTTTCGAAGGGTGTGTTTAAAAATCTTTGGTGATAGTTTTCTCACAACTGTTCCTATAGAATTGCTACCACGATCAAGTGCAAAATCAAAAATACAATTGTAGGTGGCTTCATAAGGGTACTGATCCACTTCCGATTATTTTATTAAACATTTCCTATCATATAAACACTCATATTAGTATTTTAGTGTAAGATAATCTAAGGTTTAACACACATATTGACGTACCAACACTAAGTTGATGATCAACTTACTATTTGAGAAATAGTTGTAGTATTTATTGTTTATTAGATCTTACCCCAAAAATACTAAATTTACGACTACAACTGGTTAAATTATCTATGAACACAATACTTCATCAAAATAATTCCTATATTTTGAGAATCATCAACTTTTTGATATTTGTGGATGTACCAGTTTGTAAGTTCTAAATATCACAAGAATTTGTGCAATACTTACTTACTTACTTACGCCTGTTACTCCTCGTAGAGGAGCATAGACCTCACACCAGCACTCTCCATCCAACTCTGTTCTGGGCAATTCTTTCTAGCTCTTTCCAGTTGTTATTCATCGTTTTCATATCTGCTTCTATTATCCGACGCAATGTGTTCTTTGGCCTTCCTCTTTTTCGCTTCCCTTCAGGATTACAAGTTAGGGCTTGCCTCGTGATGCAGTTTGACGATTTGCGTAATGTATGTCCTATCCATTTCCATCGTCTTTTCCTAATTTCTTCTTCAGCTGGAAGCTGGTTTGTTCTCTCCCACAGAAGGCTATTGCTGATGGTATCCGGCCAATGGATGTTGAGTATCTTGCGTAGACAGCTATTTATAAATACTTGTACTTTCTTGATTGTGGTTGTTGTAGTTCTCCAAGTTTCAGCTCCATACAGTAGAACTGCCTTGACGTTCGTATTGAAGATCCTCACTTTGATATTGGTTGAAAGTTGTTTTGAGTTCCATATGTTCTTCAATTGTAGGAAAGCGGCCCTTGCTTTGCCGATCCTCGCCTTTACGTCTGCATCGGATCCTCCTTGTTCATCGATGATGCTTCCCAGGTATGTGAAGGACTCTACATCTTCCAGAGTTTCGCCATCAAGTGTGATTGGATTGCTGTTCTCCGCTTTGAATTTGAGGACCTTAGTTTTCCCTTTGTGTATGCTGAGGCCTACTGATGCAGAGACTGCTGCTACACTGGCTGTCTTCATCTGCATCTGTTCGTGTGTACGTGATAGGAGGGCTAGGTCATCTGCGAAGTCCAAATCGTCTAATTGATTCTGAGCTGTCCATTGTATTCCGTGTTTTCCCTCAGATGTTGAGGTCTTCATAATCCAGTCGACCACCAGAAGAAAGAGGAAGAGAGAGAGTAAACAGCCTTGTCTGACTCCGGTCCTTACTTGGAATGCATCTGTCAGCTGTCCTCCATGCACTACTCTGCACTGTAGTCCGTCGTATGAGTTCCGGATAATATTGCCAATCTTCTGAGGAACTCCGTAGTGTCGAAGAAGTTTCCATAATGTTCTCCTATCTACACTGTCGAATGCCTTTTCATAATCAATGAAGTTGATGTATAGTGATGAGTTCCACTCAACTCATTGTTCGACAATGATCCGTAGTGTTGCAATTTGGTCTGTGCACGACCGATCCTTACGGAATCCAGCTTGTTGATCTCGAAGTTGGGCGTCTACTGCATCCTTCATCCGGTTCAGCAACAATCTGTTGAAGACTTTCCCTGGTATTGACAGTAGTGTTATGCCTCTGTAGTTTTCACATTTGCTCAGATCTCCTTTCTTTGGAATCTTGACGAGGTGTCCTTCTTTCCAGTCCATCGGCACTTGTTCCTCCTCCCAAATCTTTTTGAATAGAAGATAAAGCATGCTTGTGGTTGCTTCGATGTCTGATTTCAGTGCTTCAGCTGGTATGTTGTCGGGTCCCGCTGCTTTCCCGGTTTTGATTTGTCTGACGGCCATTCTAATTTCTTCCGTCGTTGGTGGATTGACATCTATAGGAAGATCTATGTGTTCTGCTTCGATGTTCGGTGGATTCATTGGAGCCGGTCTATTCAGGAGCTCTTCGAAGTATTCTACCCATCTGTTACGCTGTTGTTGAATTTCGGTGATTGGCTTCCCTTCTTTGTCTTTGACCGGCCTCTCTGGTTTACTGTATTTCCCTGATAGTTTCTTCGTTGTATCGTAAAGCTGTTTCATATTTCCTTCTCTAGCAGCTTTTTCTGCCGTCGTTGCTAGTTCTTCCACGTATTTCTTCTTGTCGGCTCTAATGCTCCTCTTCGCTTGTTTGTTTGCTTCTATGTATTCAGCTTGTGCTTGGACTTTTCCTGCTCGTGTTCGGCTGTTGTTTATTGCTGCCTTCTTGTTCTTCCTTTCTTTGATCTTGTCCAGTGTTTCTATAGAGATCCATTCCTTATGATGGTATTTCTTTAGACCGAGAACCTCTTGACACGTTGAAGTTAATGCTTCTTTGATGCCTTTCCAGTTGTCCTCCATAGTAGTTTCTTCTTCTTTCAGTAGATCTTGTAAGGCTTGGAACCTGTTGTTGAGAGCTATCTTGAATTCATTGAGTTTGACAGTATCTCGAAGGAAGGCTGTATTGAACCTTTGTATTGCTGTTTGTCCACTTGTCCAGTTCTTTTTTAGCTTCAGTTTCAAATTGGCTACAACTAGGTGGTGATCTGAAGCTACGTCAGCACCTCTCCTGGTTCTCACATCTTCCATTGTCCTTCGGAATTTTTTGTTGATGCAAATATGATCTATTTGGTTCTCTGTAGTGTGGTCCGGTGAGATCCATGTAGCCTTGTGTATACGCTTGTGTGGAAATATTGTGCCTCCTATGACCAATTTGTTGAATGCACATAGATTTGTAAATCTTTCTCCATTTTCGTTTCTTTCTCCCAGTCCATGTCGTCCCATAATATCTTCATATCCAGTGTTGTCTATTCCGACTTTGGCATTTAGATCTCCCATCAGAATAGTTAGGTCCTTTCTTGGGCATTTCTCAATGATTGACTGTAGCCGCTCGTAGAACTGATCTTTAATTTCGTCGTTGCTATCATTGGTGGGTGCATAACATTGGATAATATTCATTAAGATCCCCTCCTTCTTTGTTTTGAATGATGCTTTGATGATTCTGGATCCGTGAGATCCCCATCCTACAAGTGCATTTCGTGCTACTTTGGACAGCATAAGAGCGACTCCCTGAGTGTGTGGAGCATTGTCCTCTTCGTGACCGGAGTATAGCAGCATCTCTCCCGTAGCTAGCCTTTTCTGTCCAGTTTGGGTCCAGTGGGTTTCGCTGATTCCCAGTACTGCTAAGTTGTATCTCCTCATTTCCATTGATATTTGACTGGTCTTCCCGGTTTCCCACATTGTTCGAACGTTCCATGTACCTATAAAAATTTTTGCTCTGGTTGTTAGAAGGGGCATCGGCCTCGTGGCTTCCGAAGGAACTCGGCTTTCACCATGAAGCGTCATAATTCTTCTAAATGAAGACCTTCTAACTCCCAGGGCAGAGTTAAAATGGTTTGGATTATTTTTTCTGGTAAGCGTTTTTTTAGCGAGTTAGTTTTCTACGGGATGGGGACGCTAACCCCATGCCCAACCCTCCTCCTTTACCCGGGCTTGGGACCGGCAGCAACCCTATAAGAGCTACAGGCGGAGTTAATTTGTGCAATAGATTGCATTCAACTCTCCATTGTGAAAACAAAAGGTACCCGTAGGTTGAATAGATTAGCTGAATGGCTGTATATCAAATTTTACCAATATAGTTTTGTCGACGTTTAAGGCTTGAAATCAAGACAGTAGTTACTACGTTGTGACGGACCAATCAAATATTTAAGCCAGTTTAATTCTGATAGATATGATTTACTTCTTGATGCTACAGATAATTAGTTCAATAGGACGTATGACATAACTGCTGATCACCTTTCATTGGAAATAACAGCGTCATAAATATTTTCTTGATGCTTATAGATTTTATTGAAATCACCGACCGATCTAAGTTTGATAAACATTAAAAACCTGAAAGTGTTGGAAAACGTTTTTGTCCTGGATGGTGGTGCGAGACCGAAAGCTCTGACTTCTATTCTCGATTGCGTTGTTGTGGATGAACACTATCGAGTTGGTCCATACCAGGACTAAAAAGCCATCCAGTGCTTTCTGGTTTTCAATGGTTGTTTAACTTTGATTGGTTGATGATTTCAATGGAATTCAATAATCTCAACGACCTCATACTTACACTTACTAATTTACCAGCGGTATGACTTAAAGTTACCTATATTTGGATGCAAAAATGTTACTATGGCTCTGCATTTGAATGAGAGATAGCACATTATGTCATGTAAGATAATGAAATATTGGTATATTTCTATTCACTCAGTATTTAAATTAATATAACAGAGAATTAATGTTCACAATTTTAACAGATAATTACCAATATGAATGATAATCTGTCCTATTAGTTATCACGGCTTACTAATGGTGAGATTATTGTTATTTTTATTTCTTCTGACTTCAGATCTGTCTTTGAATTGCTACTCATGCTTACTATGTCCAGATCCTTTCGATCCTTCATCACGACTGGTACACAATGATAGTAATTGTCAATGGTGTGCAGTGAGTGAAATCAGTAAAAAAATATTTATTTTTGGGAATACTATTCACTTACTGAATTATAATAAGTACTTACAGTTTTACAAATGAAACTCGATTACAGGACCTAAAGTATTGTACAGTAACTGGTGTATATACTTAAATACGTACAACAGACTAGTTGTGGATTCACTGTATTTCCGAAGTTATTTATTTGAGAACATGCTAGGTTTGAAGCGGTTACGAGTTCACTTAGATTGAGAACGGAACAAAGACTCGGTGACCAAAAACCAATAAGCTAGCTATTCGATGCGTTCCAGCCCCGCTAACTAGAGGAGGAAGTCCAAGCTTGGAATGGGGAAGTATATTCTGAAAACAGTCAGAAACGAGCGATAACAACAAACGCAAGTCAAAACGTATATATACAGCACAAAACCGTCCTTGGGGAGAGTTACAAAATAGCATTTTAAAAGACACAACGGACCAATAGCATTTCAGATTCCCCCAAGTGGGAAATACAAGATGAAGGTGAAAAGAGCTCTTTGGCGCGAGAATAAAGAAATTGAAATTTTCTAAACAAAATTACAAAATCAGGTCCCTTTCCAAACGAGTTCTGGGGATCTAACGTCCCTAACAGAATATAACTGCTCAACTATCTCCAAGATTTTGATAGTTGATTTTTCTTTTGAGATCTAAAAAAACTTAACTAGAATGAAAGTATTTTGTTTGTGCCTTCTGATTATTTAAAGCGAAAAGCAGTGTTACTATGCTATCGATTGTTTGAGCTTTGATCAAATGAATTTTATTAACAAGAAGGGTTTGTTTAAATTGTTGGATTTTATAATGAATATCACGATATGAAATTAGTTAGACAATTATTTAAACCTTAAAAACAATGAACAGTTGTTTTGTCCTAGTGTGGAACTCCTCAATAATGGGAACTCACGAGTCAGTTACTTAGCAGTATTGTAGAGGTCAATTCCTCTATATTTGACTCCAGTAAATGATATCCTGTTAACTGAATATTTTAAGTAGGTCGATTCTCCTAGTAGCCCTATGAATTCGCTCAAAAATATTCAAAAGCCAGAACACCAATTGTTGGTAGAGTGCATTGCTAACAATTGATAAAGTCCGTAAGCTCGCAAAAGACAAGCACACTGGGAAGCGAGAGAGCAAGAGTGAGTGTCATACATATTTATGTTTATTAATCAATTATGAGAAAGTTATTGTTTGACTATGTAAACAACCAATGGGAGAATAAATAGTATTGATGTGCAACATCGGTGTTAAAAGGTTGTTATTAAGCAGTAGATAACGCAAGTTCAAGTATCCTTACTACAGAAAATTCTGTGATGTGCTAATAGAACCCATGATTTGCACTAGGCATGTAAGAACAATAAAACGGTATAAAAGGGATTTATTTGATACCATGATAGACCATGATGATACCCCAATACACTAATATTTTTATTATTGATTTATATCTATTGACAGTGAGATTTATAATATTATATTGAGTAGCACTTGACATTAATTAATTAATAATCTATTAAATGAACAAAAATTTGCATCATAAAATTCAATGTCTATAACCATTAGTTATATTCGATTCACTACAATCATATAATCACACGTTTTGTGATGCGATATTATGGGATAAACGATTGAAAAAAATTAATTTTGATAACCTCCTAGTCCTTGAACAACATGCCGTCAAGATAATAACCAGTTACTATAGATGATTTAGTCATTTTCAATAAACATGTTTTCTGAGAATTTTATATTCCTTGTAGAGTAGAAGTGAAACATGTGGTTGTGATATTTATTGATAAAAAATTAACCACTTGAGTTGAATTTGTGAGATTCGTTGCTTTGTAAAATTGTAGGGGTGAACAGCTGATGTATCTTGAGTGTCTATGAAATAGTATAACAATTTAAAACCTCTATAAGTACATCTTATCACCGATTTTAGCTAACAAGTAGAATACCTAAGAGGAGAGATTAGAAATAAGATTAGGAAGATAATATATGAATAGTACCCTTTCTTATAGTTAAAATATTCACTTTTGAAACAGATACGCAAAAGTGTTTTCACAACCACATTAATAATATTTACAAGAAACTATACACTTAATGATGCCCATTTTCCTGTAATTGTAAATAGTTATGTAGGTGGATTTCGACTGTCAAGTTGAGATGTGATATACTTTAACTGGAATTTGACAGAAAAATACATTATGTTTGTATTACCAGTGAATACATTAAATGTCTAATAGATTCTCTATAATATTTTGTGGGGCCCTTAATTTTGTCGTCATTTAGTTCGTACGATGTTGTCGAAAGGTCTCTCCACTTTAGTGGCCCGAGATCTGACTCCAAGGGAATCGTAATGATGATTGTTGTTGAAATATATATGTCGCCTATTCTCATATATAATAATCGACTATTATCGTGGATTCAGATAAGTCAAATAACGAGAATGGACTTTTAAATATATATATTTTTGTATATGAAGCGAATGGAATAGAGAGAAGAGGAAGGACGCAGAGTGGGGATGGCTGGTAAGCCAACTCCATTTAACCAAGCGTTAATCAATATTTATAGGCACACAAAAATAAGTTACAGACATGTGATGAATAGGATAAGGAATGTACACACACCTACGCGCTCATATAAAAACAGTCAATATTGATAAGCGAATAATTAACAAGGTTAGAATGTGACTCAAGTAGAATGAATAGAATGGGCTGTTCGAAGAATATATGGGCTTAACATAATAACTGACACTACAAATACATTGACGGAACAATAAAAACAACTGTTATATCCTATTATCTAATTAACACGTTTACCTGTTTGTAAAAGTACCCTTTTGTTTAATTTTGTCAAAGTAAAATCATATATCTATCTACTTTTTTTTCCTATCTTTTATGATAGAAACTTGAAGTTCCACATTATTTTAATCCAATCAGACAATGTACACCTAAATGTGACTTTGAATATTTCAGTGAAACATACCCTAAACTTACTTATTATTGTTGTCAAAATAATTATTGTAATAAAAGTATAAAAAAAAATCCAATAATAATTCATCATATACTACTAATAACTATCATCATTATTTATTTGTTTCATTATTTATAAAAATTGATGCAACAAAAAAACTCAACAGTACAATGTTCAAATTAAAATATCTCCATAAATTCACAATCTAATTTTTATATAATTAATCATGTGAAGAACAAACAACTGTGATTTCTTTATTTAAAGATGAGCAAAAAAATTTTTTTCTATTTCGTTTTTCTCTTTTTTTTTCTTTTTTTTTTAGGATTCATTAGTTTATTTTATTTCAGCTTATGTTTTAGAAAAATAAGAAATTCCATGTTTATTTTTATATTTTTTTTATACTGAATAATTTACCATTTAGAGGGATTACATAATACACGGGTGAGATACATGTTTATTTACATGACATAAGTTGGTTATCATCTATATGTTTGGTAAAATTTGTATCTTCTTTAAAAATTGATTGTTTCTGTGTACTAACATTTATGTATTTAATATTAAAAATGGTTTTTGTGGATATTATAATAATTTCAATGTTTGAGATCATGAGTCAGTTGAAGCTAGATCACCGTGGAAAACCTGGAAGCACTAGACAACTGTTTCATCCTATGGTGGGACTCCTCAGCAGTGTGCATCCACGGTCTCGCCTCACGAGATTCGAACACAGGACCTATCAATCTCGAGCCAGACGCTTAACCAACTAGACCACTGATCCAGCCGGCATCCAATGATGTTAATTTCTAACTTCAACTAATCCACGAAATTGAGCGACATATCCACCATTGTCTTCAGTGAGCTACTATCTCACAACTTGACCGGTTGGACTCCACTGGTCACGGCTCCCCACTAGAACTCCAAGGTATACCTCTTGAAGCCGGTCACTAGTGAGCATATGTTAATTCTTATCAAAAGGGTTTTTGTGGATATTATGATAATTGCAATGGTTGAGATCATGAGTCAGTTGAAACTAGATCACCATGGAAAACCTGGAAGCACTGGACGACTGTTTCATCCTATTGTGGAACTCCTCAGCAGTGTGCATCATGTAGTTGACTATAGATAAGTCTAAAACATGGGAATATGTCACTAGACTAATTAATACCTACAGTCACATAACCATTATGTTATGTTATGTCTTTAACTTATACGATTATCGCAAAATACGACTGCTAAATTTACTTGCACTGACTTACACGACCAAACTAATGACGCGTACACCAGTAAAAGCGGCCTAGAATTCTGATTGATCCTTTTTCCACCTAGACCTGCCTGTTAAGTCCAGAACGCCAATCTCAGCCTCCGCATTACGAATTGTATATTTTAAACTTACTAAGTTTATATACAAACAAATTAGACTACATCACACCATAAAATAGAAAATAACATTTGTACAAGATTAAGCCAAAACGTTAGTGTAATTGTGAGGGACTGTTGCTAACAAACTGGGAATATCTCAAGAATAATAAATTGTATCATAATAGTCAGTAGGTCAAATAAAGACTTATAATGAAAGGAATATCAATATGCATATAACATAGTTACTTAATAGTCATACAATAACACGGACTTCCTGAAGTTTTATTTTGCACAGAGTTGAGTCATATATTTTATTCTATACGTTCCGTTTAATAAAATAATGAAACAGATTGAAGTAAGTTATCATATAAATCAATGGTTTGCGTTCAACTGGCCAACTCGGAGTAAATAGCGTTAGTCGAGTTTCAAATGTTTAGCGTACATTTATCATCTGGAATCGGTGGCATGATAAATACATTCAGTGAAATATAGAAGTCGCATACAAATGTGTATATCAGCCATAAACATTCTAATTAGTAAGCGAATTCCTTAACACAGTCGATAATTCATCTTAGATAAAAATTCATCATTAACTGTACCTAATTTGCCATTAGACCCATTTTTACTTGAGTTTTTTTTAACGGTGATACTCAAGTAGTCAACAAATTTTTATTTCCTTATTTCTTCACTAGAATAATTAATATCACTGGGTTTTAGAATCAGGCAAAAATTCAATTGCAAAAAAATTGAGTTCAAGGAAGTGAAATAATGAAGAGCGCTATTATTTTCCAGTTCCACATTTCAGTAATCCATTATCACAATCATGATGAAGATACTTTTTAAAATTTTGCGATCCTCTGACTATAAGAAATTAAGTAAGAAACATGAATTTTGTACGATTCTAAAATGCCTCTAAATCTATCACTCCAGAAATAAACTGAGAAAACACTTCATAGAGTCTTGTGTACTGATAACTATTTATACATAATTCCCTCCATTTTTTCCAATTATTCTAAACTTCAATTTCTTAAAGTTTGCCTAAAATTAACAGAAAATTCTATGAAGTATCTACAAACTCCACATTTAGTTGGAACAATAAATATATCAAAATAGAAGATCGATATACATTAGATTAGGTAATAAATAATATATAACTCAAAAATAGAATTCTTAATGAATTGACGGGGCATGAATCAACCAGTTAAGTCTGGTGCATAATCTGAAAAATTGATGAAAGCGCACATCAACTAGAAAAGTGAATGGAGTTAAAACAGAAATTTCTCAAAATTTTACTGTAAGGAATAATCTCCTAAAGTAGTCAAAATGATGAAAAGTTACATTTCAACAAAATGTTCAGTGCAAACAGTTTCAGAATTATTGCTATCCTGAAAAATTCAAATTATGTTTACTGAATACAGTGAAATTTTGATACTCGTCAATGTTTCGTGAAGTGAAGTATCACGAAACACTTCGTTTAATCAACAAGTCAAATGTATCTTTACATCTCACATTTTACGGACTATTACAGCACGAAAAATAATGCAGTTTCCGTGTTTACGCCTCTGTAGATCATAAGTTCTTAGTTGTGATTATATAAGGACTCTAGTTACGAAATGGCCGTGAGTGAGATGAACGTGAAATCTGAAATAAGATAATACTATTTTAGCTGTTCAAATTCCAAAATTCAAACGAGAGAAAATTTAACCATGAAGAGTTTTTACAGTCATAGTAACAAACATGTAATTATAAGTCAAAGCATAAGAGATGAACAAGCGCGTTCATCCACGACTGTTTCTGTGATCATTTTATGGAACACAGATATTTATGGTCAACAAGAAAATCATATACTTTATTTCTATTACTTCTATTTATGTTGGACCCTAATCAATTTTCCTTCTCGTTTCACTTAGTGATAATACACACACTGAAATTTAAGACGTTCAAGCTAAATTCATTTCTATTATAATTCAGCTTAGACAACCGCTTTCCTTCACGAGAAAGAACATGTTTGCGTCATTGTATGTGATACTACACCTCTACACATAATTATTTACGTGTATTTTTGTGCTTACAAACAAAAAATTATTTGAAATATGTTTAGTTATAAGATTTTTGGTAAAACGATTGTCATTCACTGAAAACACATCACACCGTATATAACACTATTGACAAATCATTTAAAACAAACAATCTTCACTTGACATAACAACAAAAGTTTAGAATTCATGGCAAAATGTGTTTGAAGATGACAAATGTGAAAAAATATTAGAGTATTTAACTTTCGTAAATCATTTGATTTTCACTTTTACCAGAATGGTTTTTCATGACATACAACTGTTATTGAGATCTTTATCTACTTGAAATTCAAAGAAAAATATCACGTATTCAATACTTTGTATTTCGATATTAGTCACATGAAACACATTTGTCAACACAGTTCTCAGTCAATAATTTTAGTAATGTGGGCGTCAACTCTCTGTTTCATATTGTGTTCAGATGTATGTTAATGTGAAATTTGACAAAATAATAGAGTTGCCTCAGTTTTGAACCACACAGATTGACATTGTGATTGTGAGAAGTAAGACGAGGCTGAGTATGAATAAGATGATATGATGAAGAGATTTTCACGATTTTCACTTGCAACATTTCATGAGATATGTATCTACTTCTACTGCAGTTAGTTTCTGAATAATTTTCTAATTTGTCTGGTTATTGTGTAAGACCTTGTGAATCGATGTCTATGTCTTCAGATTCAACAAACTAATTTCATTCTGGGTGTATTCAACATCGTCAGTGTGTTTGTATTCTAAATAGAGTTCATTCGCTTTTGTTATGATTCGCATGTATTTCATATTGGGCCTCTTAGTGATGTCGGAAACAAATGATGAAAACTGATCACTAAGGCATTTCTATCATTCACTTCACATAAATTTAAACTCTCCACTCTTCTAAACAGACAAACCATTTATGGAATAGTGAGAAATTCGCCTGATAATATTCCACCTTCTGGTAAACATTTATGAGTTCCATTGTTTGGTTTATTTTGTTGGAGGTTATTTAACGAATAATGGTCGATTTGTCCTGTAGTGGCTGGTACTTTTTCAAGCTTATATAGGCTATCCTAGCTAATGCACAAACCAGTTATTTATTCTTCTCAATTTTCATTCTGAATTTGTCACTTCCTCACTTATTAACCCTAACTGATTTCATGTGTTCATATGGGTTGATTGTTTGATTTGATCAATACGTGTCTGTAACTCATTTTTGTCTGAATATGAATACTGAGTAATGCTTCATCAAAACGATTTTCCGTACTCGACTTTCCCGTCTTGGTTCGTATTCCATTCTTCCAGCAACATTCTCCGCTTCGTTTTCTCCACTTCGTTTATCTGATTGTCCGTGCGGATCAATGAGTGTATGGAGTATGCGCATTGAAAATCTATTCTCATATTCAACTTATTTCATTCCGTTATTGTCTAACGCGAATTAATTCTATGAAAATATACCAGGGTTATCGACATGTATATTTCTATAATAATCATCATGCGATCTAACTAGCGTCAGATATTGGACCGTTATTCTCTGTTTTGTAAATTTTATTATTATTAATCACGAGTTCTGAATATTTAACTTACAGTGTTCCTGATTATTTTATATTCTATTACTAAGCTATGGCTGGAATACAAAACTTCCTCATGTTAACTCATTACGTACTAAAAATAGGGATAACAGTGAATCACAGAATAGTTCTGAAAGTTCCGACCTTCTAATTTTCACTCCATTTCAACATCGAAAACCGATTTCTGTTAAAAAGGCAAGCGAATAGTAAAAACAGTTTTACTTAAAGGATATTTAAAAGGCCTATACTACATATGCAAATTGAGACAATAATATTAACTAGGCGGCCCACTTGGATATTTAGGCTACCTGTGCCTGCTATCTAGATATTTCAACATGTTATCTGTCTTTTGTTTGTTTCAACAGACCATTATGTCAATTATTTAGTTGCACAAGCTATTCAGGTGCGTTTGTGAAATGTTCATGACCTTTCATTGTACAAGTTAGAAAAGAGAATAATCAGACACATTATGGTTGCTGGCAATAAACATCGAAATGAGTGTACAGTATTCAGATGTCTATTCCTAAACTGCTAACATCCAATTGGCGACCACTCAATTTCTATGGTCAGGATAGATCAAGAAATAAGAAACGGAAACATGTTGAAATACGTTGCATCAAGTATTCTATATTAAACCAAAAGATATTGTTGAATAAAGCTAATAATAATAATAATAATAATAATAATAATAATAATAATAATAATAATAATAATAATAATAGAAGCAATTGATTATTATTTTGCAAAACTGAACTCAATTACTTTGCAATCGACTGTAACACCGATAATAGTGTGGTTTGGAGAAGAACATAGAGAGCCAATACACAACTCTGTCTACTCTCATTTGATTGACAGAAGTCATTTAGTTGACAGAACTAAAGCAAAAACACTGAATACTTTCATTCTATCCAGTTCTACAATTGCACTTAACCTCCTCTTTGACACATTGCACAAGTTGGAAGAAATCAAACCAACAACTGTAGTCTTTGTAATGTAAAATATTTCCAGAACCCATGTAACTTCTTTGTAAGCAGTATGACCGTATTTTATTTTCTCTAACCTCTTTCGTATATCCACTGAACCAAACATCCATCTGTTGGTGTCTGAAATAATCTTGACACAATCGAGAACAACCCAATACATGTTACATAGGTCATACACCATACTTCATGAAAGTAGATCCATCTCGAACACACCACAGTTTCACCTCACCTCATTCCTTTCACACTTAGTATAGATGTTATTGTCCTTATACAATTACACAGTTCCCTGCATCTTCACTGAAAAGAATAAGAAATCAGTTATTAACTCATCAAGAATTTTCTAATATTTTCCTAAAATCAGTTCAACATTTAGAACTAACAACTACTATTTAGATCATCTTGCAATTCACATTTTCTTATAATTACTAGTTCCTAAAATTGGTATTGATTGAATAAATAGGTAACTCAATGTCTGATACATCATTGCTCGTGTCGGCATTTTTCTCATGTGATTGGATTTAATCCAATGTAAAATAATAAACGAATAAATGATACATGTCAATGAAGTCAACTTCACACACAAATCAACCGATATCTCACAATGATGCCGGTTAAATTATAGTTTGAGATTTGTCATGTACACCAGCTTTTACACTTCAGAAGACATCAGATTATTTTACTCACTTTCATTGTGTTGAAACGCTTTGATATTAGTCGTACGATGATAATCACGACCCCTGATGCTTTCTATTTCAGATAGTACACAAGAATCGTGTTAATAGCATGAATGAACGACCGCAGAAAGACGTGAATTACATTGAGAGGCCATTTATAAATGTTAGATGTTTTCAAAACCAATCAAATTTATTTGTTATTACACCTCATTATATTTTCTTAGTCCTGATCGGTAAAATTTAGATAATATTTCTCACGTGTTGCGTGTCATCGTTCTCGAGATAGTATTTCTCTCAACATTTGGAAGATAATTAAACACAAAACTGAATGGCAGTGCTATTCAATCTTTCAGTCTGTTAGGTGAAACAAATAAAATGGAACCTATATCGTACATGTACCTTAGGAAGACGACAGGTAGACAAACTCTCTACAAATTACTAGACTCGAGAATACCTTGGTTATGTGATAAGGTTTACTCAGGACATTCAACTTCGCGACCGGTAATATTCCTTATGATAAATGTTCATATCGTATTAACATTGTATGTCTAGTGAGTGTGTAGTCTGTACTACAGAATACGATAACCAATCAACATTTACTTTTTCGGTTGGCCAATCATCTAAATATGCTTTAATGTGTATTGATGACATAAGAGTCTAATAAAATCATGATTAAATTGGTCTGAACATTACGATATCATTACAATAAACGTCTGAATACAGTAATCGGATTTTAATTGTCCTACTACCACCATGGAGTATGCTTCACGGATTCTCCTTTCGATCTTGCTGATTATAGTTAACATACATTGCAGTAAGATAACTTGTTAATGTTTCTCTTTGTTATATGATGATTGTTTTATAAATAATGTAAAGGTATTTCAATTAACTAGAGGAAATTGAAACAGATTTCTTCTTAACTGTTTATGCTGACTGATTTAAATCCCATAACTATCCATCGTGTTACCTGCGACTCAATGTAAGTCTGGTGAAAACTGGTTAGCTTGAATAGGACTGTGATCACCACTTTATTTATTCAGTATGTACTTGTTATGTTTGTTAGTGATACCATGAATGTTGTTGTGTTCAGTCAATAAACTATTCATCAAATCATAAATAAGAACAATCGTTGAATTAGTTTAAACAAACGTACAAATTTGACAGTACCGTTATGTCTTCTTATCTGATTTCAGGTCTGTCTTTAAGCTGCTATGAATGCAATCCTTGTCCAGTTCCATTCAGGAATTCTTCAGTGAGAATAGGACATAATTGTAGATGGTGTGCAGTAAGTGCAATGAATCATTCATTTGTTGAATTTCAATAAGCTTATCCAATGAGATTAATTAAAGTGTTGAACCGTTGCTCATTAATGTACTTATGACCGTTCAAAACAGGGTAATTGTTAATTATTCTGAATGTCTTGTAGTATCTTTAGTGTACAAGCATAACTAACCAACAGTTTTATAAATGATTGAAAATTATCTATTCTTCTCTGTCATAAGTAAGATTAAATCTAAGTGAAAGTGAGTCGTTAGTTGTTTTCAGTTATTTAGGGCTAAAGACAAGGCTGTTTACTCTCTCCCTTCCTCTTTCTTCTGGTGGTTGACTGAATTATGAAGACCTCGACATTTGAGGGAAAACACGGCATACAATGGACAGCTCAGAATCAATTAGACGGTTTGGACTTCGCAGATGACCTAGCACTCCTATCGCATACACATGAACAAATGCAGATAAAGACAGTCAGTGTAGCGGTAGTCTCTGCATCAGTAGGCCTCAACACACACAAGGGGAAAACCAAGGTCCTCAAATACAACACGGAGAACAGCAATCCAATCACTCTTGATGGCGAAACTCTGGAAGATGTAGAATCCTTCACATACCTGGGAAGCATCATCGATGAACAAGGAAAATCCAATGCAGACGTAAAGGCGAGGATTGGCAAAGCAAGGGCCACATTCCTACAATTGAAGAACATATGGAACTCAAAACAACTTTAAACCAATATCAAAGTGAGAATCTTCAATATCAACGTCAAGGCTGTTCTACTGTACGGAGCTGAAACTTGAGAAACTACAACAACCACCATCAAGAAGGCACAGTATTTATAAATAGTTGTCTACGCAAGATACTCAACATCCATTGGCCGGATACCATAAGCAATAGCCTTCTGTGGGAGAGAGCACACCAGCTTCCAACTGAAAAGGAAATTAGGAAAAGACGATGGAAATGGATAAGACATACATTACGCAAATCATCGAACTGCATCCCGAGGCAAGTCCTAACTTGTAATCCTGAAGGGAAGCGTAAAAGAGGAAGGTCAAAGAACACATTACGTCGGGAAATCGAGTCAGATATGAAAAGGATGAATAACAACTGGGAAGAGCTGGAAAGGGTTGTCCAGGACAGGGTTGGATGGAGAGTGCTGGTGAGCGGCCTATGCTCCTTCACAAGGGTTAACAGGCGTAAGTAAGTAAAGTAAGTAATTGTCCTCACTTCGATCAGCTGGAATTAATCATCGCTGTGAACTATTATTATTTTCAAGTGATCTTCAGGTTTCGAGAAACAAATCTATTCACTTGCACTATGTAAGAACAACAATGTCCAAGAAATAATTAAAACTGATTACCGTGATGTTGACAACAATATGTGTTCTGATAAAAAATATTATTGTAAACACACTAATTGGAGAAATCAATTTGACAATACTCATTTCACTTAAACAAATAGATTGTTAGATGTGAAGGACGTTCTACTAGACTCTTAGCAACCATTACATAGTGCTAAATGACTCTGTTGATTATTGTTTCTTATTCATAGAGATACTATTATTTATTTGTGTTGAAATAACGAGAGTATATATATTTCACTTTCATATGTTTTATTGTAGACCCTCTCGGTAGAACACTACCCAACTCCAATTAGAGAATGTGCACCTGAGTGCAGCTTTGCGTATTGGGGTCCAACATACAAATCATTGTCTTATGATTGTTGTCAAACTGACTATTGTAATAAGAGTGTACAGACACGTATAGTTCATCATATGTTGACTGTGATAGTCATAACACTCACTTGTTTCTTCAGAGTTAAGATGCAGTGAAACTGAACAATCATTATAATCTACGCAAATCGACTGTTTTTATTTTTATCTTGCTTTCTATGTTTTATAGATTCAGCCGTATATTAAGCATGGGCATTATTTTGTAACTTATAAACGAGAAATATTAATTTTTTTTGAATTTCTGCAATTCATTGACACTTTAGTTTCTTTCTGTTTTGTATTGAAAGTAATACTGTAATAAAACGAACCAATTTCTTGTTTAATTTCACATTTCCGTGTTAAACATTTTGTTAACGAATTAAGAATGACGGGTAGTACATGTAGGCTAAATTTGATTAATTAACTGACATCAGCTGACTGCTATTTCGAGATACAGTCAAATTACACTCTCAGATCATAATGGCTTTATACTAGAACTAACAGTTTACTCAAAACATGAAGTTTATTTAGCAAACAAGTGAGATATATAAAACTATGTAACCACGTATGAGAAAAATGAAAATTTCCAACATGAACATCAGTTGGATGTTGTTCGATCACTGTTACATTAACCATGACAAATTAAACAGTTCTCGGTAAAACTTTAGTCATTTATATGTATTGTTATTGAATCTGTTCACATTCTAGTCTTTTTTCATATCTTTGATTTCTCACATTTTACTAACAAAACTGAATTTGGAGTGAGAAAAACAGTTTGAAAGTATCTTATATATTAGATGGAACAAAATAAATTCATCACAGCTAGCTACCTTTTAGTCAGTTAACTGTTGGGATAAACTGGTTTCTTTTGGACATATTTCGGTGAAAATTAAAAGCTACGATTTTTCATACAGAAATGTTAACATGAATCGGTGAAATAAACGGAGTGAGACTACTATTGGTTATTAATTATATGGACTAATCATATAATCTTCCGGTCAGTGGAGGTATTTGTCAGTTACATCAGTAATTGAACCAACTATTATACTCTAGTGGATCAATTATCATTCATCAACTTCTTTTAAACTTCACCCCTCAAGACTAAACAATTCAGGCTTTCGTATTCCTTAACACTTTCCATATTATTCAACTGCTAATATGAGCCTGAATACTGGTCAATGATAAATTGATACTTCCATGCCCAGATATCTAATCCCGTTATTTTACGCAAATGATGCTTTAAAAAATAAGCGTTATCAGTATGAATAGTAGATAAATGGAAATAGAGTAATTTCAACACAAGTTGACGAATGCTAAAACTACTTGAAGGTCACTTATTTATAAACGCTGAAATAACAATTCGACCGTATATAGTCGCAATTTTTCGAAGGTTATCTAGTCTGCTGATAGTCTAATGAGTAGTAAGACATAGATTTTAAACAATCTCAATACTGTTTTTTATTCTAATTAGTCACATAAATATTGACGTTTAGCCTGAATGAGTGGTTTATCGGAACCGCATCGTCATCAACATAACTATTTACGAATTTTATACTCCACATTATTCATTTGATTAACATAGAAAATTAAATCAACCTTTCCGGTTTCAAATTACAGTTACAGGTGTTTCGATTGGTTGTTTACCGATGTACCTCGAAAGTAAGGTCAGTTTGAGATGAGTCTATCAATGTACTGAGATTTACACGATTTTCAGTAGACTTTCGAATTCAATCAACTAAGTAGCAGCCACAATCATTGTGCGTTTAATTAGTCAGTTTATTGATCATAACCATTCTCTTAGCGTGTAAGTTCTTGTCAATAGTTCACCTTCATATCTCTGGAAACATTTTCTGCATGTTATATAGAGCCAGACAATGTAACTAATACTTACCGGTCTAGACCTCAGAAAAGACTAATGATAAAACTAGCATTCTTCATTGTTAATAAAACTTCATACCAAAAAAACTGACAAACTGAAACTGTGAAATATCCTTCAGATCAACTCAGATGGTCATTCGATGTATTAGGTTCAACCCCATGGATCTGAATAGTTCTCATTGTAAATGATAGGACCAGTTCTTGAGCCGATGTCAATAACCATTGAATGTCAGTTTGATTTGTATTATACCTCAGTAAATTGTTTTATTGAATAAGTGGACAAATTTGCAATCAATTTACTTGACACGTTGCGCTTAATTTATCATTTATATATCATTTTATTGAGCCACATTAGGATATGGGTTTAATTCCTTTAAGTCAAAATGAATATTATCCAAAAATTAGAATTTTTCAATTAAATTAGTGTTATTTTATTTATTTTTTAAAATATTTAGTTTGTGTTATATTCCTCTCCCATTACCGAATTCTTAAACCACCCTTTCATTCACATATTTCCGCTCAATTGATCCTCTTAAATTATGTGAACTCTTCCAGTTCTATTCAATCATTTCGTAACCCATCTTATCAATTTATTAATTCCATGAATCCTTCATTACCTCTAAAATTATCACACAATTTATCACAATTTATCTTTACCTAATAACTTCTGACCTGTTCTTCCATATATATATATATATATATATATATATATATATATATATATATATATATATATATATAGTTATTATTGATATCCTTTGTCATTTCAATGATTTACATTCAATTATGTCAATTGTTTCATACTATTTCTTACCTCAATGTTAAAATCTAACACATTTTGGATGCCGGCTCAGTGGTTTATTTGGTTAAGTGCCTGGCGCGAGACTGACAGGTCCTGGGTTCGGATCTCGTGGGGTGCGTGATCGTCAACGCGCGCTGCTGAAGAGTCCCACAACAGGACGAAACGACCGTCCAGTGCTTCCAGGTTTTCCATGGTTGTCTAGCTTCAAATGACTCATGATTTCAATCAGTGAAATTTCTAAAATCTCCACAAAACCCCTTCTGACATATTTGGTTGTAAGCAGTTGACGAGAAACCTCAAAATAAATGAATTCATAATATTCTGCATCAATAATTGTTCTGGCTTTATTTAAATTCATAAAGAGAACTAATTGCATGAAACACTAATATCTCTTGCCATGTTCAAATACTATGCATTCTTAACATCTCAGTGATTGGCATACCTACTTTATTCTTGACTGGTCACTTTGATGATCACATTTCCCTGCTAGTTTCTTCATTGTATTATATAGTCCTCTCATATTTCCCCTACGTCGAAATGAAAATTATCTAAGAATCAGAATTTTTTCAATTAGATTTTATCGATTTATCGTTAAGAAAATTTAACCAACTTTAGACAGCAATAATGGTGTTGTTAATGTTTTCTATTACACTCAACGTTGCACAAGTTTACATCATTTACAATTTGTGAATAACATATTTGACAAATCAACAAGTGGTTTGTTTCTCTTGTTCTCCACTCTCTATTCTCTACATTTACCATCAGAGATCAGTTGACAAATACTAGATATTTCTTATTCTCGTGATGTTTCATTTTGTACACATGTCATATGATTTCAGTGTCATTGAACATTCAAAGTATTTTTGTACTTTCTATTAAATGGTTTGGTAGTTTTGTAACTTTTTATACTGTCATTATTTCGTGTGTTTTTATTTTAACTTTTAGTAATTTCTTAGAAAAGGTTAAAACTTTTTCGCTCTTAAAACATTGAGTCTTCAAAGATTTGTGGGTTTTTTTTATTAAGTGCGGTATTGTTATATAGTGTAAGAAATTGGATATATTCCGCTCGTTTTTGGCGTTATTGAAAATTTATTCGTTGTTTATAAATGTCTAACTAACCATTCAGATTGCCCATCGTATATTACTATGAAAATAATTTGATGAAGACATTGGATTTGACTTGATTTTAACTGCTATGTCTGTAGTGTCGGTTGCTATGTTCAGCCCACATAGCTTATTCTAGATTATGGACAGGCCAATTTATCCATTCTTCTGGAGTCACGTTTTGACCTTGTTAATTATTGGCTTATCAATCCTGACTGTTTTTATGTAAGCTTTGTGTGTGCATTTTTTATCCTATTCATCAACTGTCTGCAATCTATGTTTATCTGGCTATAAATATTGATTAACGCTTGATTGAATCGAGTTGGCTCACATGCCTTCCCCACTGGGTGTCATTTCGTTTCGCCTTGCTCTCTTTCACTTCATTCGCTGCAATTCTCTGAATGTCTATTCCGATCAACGAGCGTACAAAATATACTAATTTAAACATCCATTCTCGTATTTGACTTAGTTGTTTCCTTCATTCACCAACGCGATTTAAGTCGATAATTTATTACGAGGATTGGCGATATATATATATATATATATATATATATATATATATATATCAACAGCAATCGTTCATACAATCCGATTAATGACAGACATCAGATCACAAATGTGGTGAGCCCATCAACAACATCGTCCGATCTAATTGACGTTAAAATAAAGAGCGCCTCACATTCATGATAAACGTCTAGAGGATTATATTAAAAGAATTATATCAAATTGTTGATATACTATTACCAACATTTCTTATTATCTTCACACAACATGAAATTCTCGTATTCTCGAATAATCCTCATTTTGAAGGTAATCAAAACTGAGTTTCATAGAAGCATTACACGCCAGAGGGAAAAAGATTTCCTCAATGTAGTCAGTGGAGGTAGTTAACTTATTAAAGTTCATTGATAAGCGAACTTGTAACACTTTTCGAGGTTTTCATCATTGTTGTTTACTCAGAGCAACATGAATCAACAATAAAGTTGTCATCATAGTACTTTGTGTCAATCAGATGACGACAAGGACAGTGATTTTTCAAAGAACACAATTTTACCAAAGGATATCTAATATATGAAATAATACTGAGAGCCGTTTTTTGCTTGCTAGAAATTCAAAGCAAAATATTACGCATTCAATACTTTGTATTTTGATATTAGTCACATGAAACACATTTGTCAACACAGTTCTCAGTCAATAATTTTAGTAATGTGGGCGTCAACTCTCTGTTTCATATTGTGTTCAGATGTATGTTAATGTGAAATTTGACAAAATAATAGAGTTGCCTCAGTTTTGAACTACACAGATTGACATTGTGATTGTGAGAAGTAAGACGAGGCTGAGTATGAATAAGATGATATGATGAAGAGATTTTCACGATTTTCACTTGCAACATTTCATGAGATATGTATCTACTTCTACTGCAGTTAGTTTCTGAATAATTTTCTCATTTGTCTGGTTATTGTGTAAGACCTTGTGAATTAATGTGTGAAATCGCATTTGTTTATCAATGATATGTAATCACAATAGCTTTATTCTTCACTACGAATTGGTTACAGTAATGATTTGTCAACATGACTTCTGAAATGTTTCAACATATTTCTACATAACCTACATTCATATTGTGGTTATTCAAAAACTATACATACTCAGGGTTTTCTTAATATCAGTATAGGGTTATGGAGATTGTTGAGCTTTGACGGACACCATGAATCGATCAATGTTTTTCAGTAGTCATCATCAGTCACACAACTTCACAATTTCTGGTGCTACATATACTTCCACATCCACCAGATACTGAATACATGAATTCTAATGTGTTCGCCATTCACTTTTTATAAAAAGTAGACAAGGAGAAGATTATATGAACATTTTAGTGTTTTGGTTTAACATTTCCAGTATTCAGTGTCACAATAAGTTGTAAGTCTCCCATAAATCCGTGTAAGCATATGCAGTCTAACTAAATTATTTTATTCAGATAACTGTGAAGCAGGTAGATTTACTGCTATATTTATACAGGTGGTAAATATGTGGCTCGAACATTTTAACAAATATCTGTTCAAAAGTAATGTCCTTATACTAATCCAATCGTCTTACGTATCACTCAAACAACGTATTCCACTACAGAAACTAGTTTGGTCGAGTTGACAACTTATATAGAATAAAGCACTGAGATGAACAATTATCATTCTTCCCTTTCAATGTTAATGATCCAATCAACTATGTGTAGTAAGAGGACGAGTTAGTTTCTAATAACGAAACACATAACAGATACTTCAAACTAGTTTTCCACCAACCAGTATCTATCATTTCATTGATGTTAAGGAACTGATATTTTGAACCTGATTGTTCACAACAGAGATAACACAATAATAGTATTTCACCAATCAACCTTCGAGTATTCTGTTCACACAGATTCCACGAGTTTTTCAATAAAAGACGATGTATATGTGAGAGTGTGATAACTGGGATATCGAGGATTAGGCTATTTGAAAATCTGTTAAAATTAAACATTAAAAATTTGAAATATCTACCGATTACATTAGGTCAAATGATCAAGTGCACATAAGAATCAACTCATTTATTATTTATTTGACAGTTGAACCTTACTAATGGACAAATATCACATTTCTCTTTGTTTTCATATTTTGCAACCGCATTTAATTCCGTGCACATTTAACAGATTTCGGTTAGACATTAAGATTTACGTGTATGTGATTCGTTTCTAGATAAAACATGTTCGTTGATTCACTCTTTTAAGCATGAACATCATCCATCAACAAATGGATCATTTCTACAATTTGGTTTTAAGATCTATGATTATGTTTACATTTCTGATTACACATAAGTGGCTATGAACTGGAAAACTATCTTATCACATTATTAAAACCCAGTTTATCAAATGTATTTTGACTGAAACTTAGTTTATACCACAGAAGAGTTAGAAATTGTAAAATCTTGAAGATCACAAGAAATGAAGGTAATAGCAATCTACTTTCTAATTAATAATTTCTTTATTACTCTATTTTTGATTTATTCATTGATAAATCATTTGATGAATAAACACTCCATTGATCTGATTTGGTGTGAATTACTGTTATTATCAACATTGTAAGCTTTGAATTTTATTATTCCGACGATATATAGCTATTTGTGATTATATTACCAAACTATAAACAGATGGATAGTGACTCAAAATGTATTTGATCCATATTTATTTGAATTACACACTTTCATTTCTTTGTCTTTTAGGGATGACTGATCTGGTTTATTATTATATATATGTAACTTGAATAGTTGACCTGTTAGAATGATCAGTCAATTAATCACTCATTCTGAAAGTAGTTCACATAACAGATTCACACCAATTTAAACGATCACACAAATGGACGAAGAACTCACTAACTACTTTTATATCATTCTTGAACAATTAGAATAACGTAGTATACCGATTTTTATATATCTGAATCGGTTAACATGGTTGTCAGTAGATTTTGTTCTATTATTGAGATAATGATGATAGAAGTAGATATAGGTGGATATAAGTCGTTGAGAATCCCTCTGTTCATCTTTACCCATTTAACATATAACTAGTGCTTCCACATTTCCCATAGTAGTCTAGCTTCAATCGACTCACGATCTCAACTATTAAAATTACTATAATATGCACAACACCCTTTGTGATACTCATCAACATATGCTCACTGGTGACTGATTTCAAGAGGTAATTCCTGGAGTTCTAGTGAGAAGCAGTGACCAGTAGATTTCAACCGGGTCTGTTATGAGATAATAACTCACTGAAGACAATGATGGATGTGTCATTTAATTTTGTGGATTAGTTGAAGTTAGACAATTACACTGTTGGATACCGGTCGGTTCAGTGGTCTATAAGTTATGCGTTCGCGCGCGAGACCGATAGGTGTTGTGTTTGAATGTTGTGAGGTGGGATGGTGGATGCTCACTGTTGAGGAGTCCCATGATAGGACGAAACGGCCATTCATTTCTCCAAGGTTTTCTCTGGTGGTTTAGCTTCAATTGATTCATGATCTCAACTATTAAGATGTGCATAATTGTTCGACCAATCACTTGATTGTGTTTCTGGTTATTGTAAATAAGTTGTTTTTATAAACTACTCACATTAAATTTGAGTAGGAATAGGTACAAACACAAAATCGTGTGATAAAACAACTGTTTCTTATCAGTGACTTTTTAACACCTAAATATGTCTTACACATAACAAGACCAAAACTTTTTATATCTCTTCACACATATTAATAAGTCATATAATATGCTTGATTCAATGAAAATCTAAAAAAAATTAACAATAGTTTGACGGCTAATTATTGATTGATTGTATTTTTCGAATAGAAAAGAAAAGAAGGAACACTTCAATCTCATTTGAATTTTTCCTTATAAGGTATTTCGAAGGATAAACCATATGAAATTTAATTAATCAATCTCTAAGTACATCTGATCTCTTTTATGTTTTAATATGGTAATATTAGGAACATTTCAAACAGTAAATTGTAAAATATTATTGTTTCAAATAACCATCACAAAATACTTGTCACCATAAATTAATGAAAAGTATTCTAGTCTACACTTATGACCAATACAATCAAAATTAAATCAGTCCAATTTACTTGTTTTTTCCGAAGTAAAGATGACAGAAATTAAATTAGCTTTTATCAAACCAATATTCATTGATTTAAAATGAAAGTTAGAGATTATGTGTTTGAATAAGTCTGTATGAAATTGGGAATCGAAAATAATAGACTTCAATTTCGACCATTTAAAATGATAGATGAAATGATAACAAAACTGAGAGACTTATTCAAGGGTAGTAATAGTAAAATTGGGTGATCATATGAAGTTTGTTATGCTGAAATAAGTTCCAGAATTAGTTTTGTCTAAGATCCACAGTGAATATCATCCACAAGTCATAAAATATTGGTATGACTTAACGTAAGTAATTTATAATCATATATGACTTACTGATCATCTTCAAATAAAATCTACTGATGCAGTCTCACAATCTGTGAAGTTATGCAACTGATATCTCTTCATATTAAGAACTGTTCTCAAATTGATAAATCTGTTCACAAATCATTTTAATTATTTATTTTTCATGATTACCCAACAAATCAATAACACAACGGTGTAGAACTTCGTACGTACGTACGTACACCAGTTCTAGTTGCGATGCCACATAGTAACACAACATGAACTAAGGAAATGATATCAGTTGTGTTACGGAAATAAATTACCTTACTCAATGTAATTTATGATAATCTTATCTGTTTTTTTCAGAATAATTTACATGAATGATTTCATTATTGATTGTTTTTCTATTAAATTCAGACTATAGTTTTCAACTGGGCGTTGAATTATTTAAAACAGGAATGCACTATAATTTTATCAAATAAACATCCTTCTTTTCACTTATTAATCTACATATTCTCATTATTGATGCAATGTGATTCCTTTTTTTTCATTTCATACAGACTTTAATCTATGTAAATAGATATAAAATACATTGCAATAACTGCAGTAAATTTTGAAATTATATATTACCGATTATTGTTAGTGATCTTTGACTCTTAATAAACCGTTTGTATTGTCGTGAATGCTCACTGTTAATGAGTTCCATACTAGGACGAAACAGTCTTGCAATGCTTTCATGTTTTAAATGTTTGTCCGACTTAAATCGATGAATTATAACCCGAACACCCTCTAACTGGGGAGATTGCATAAATTATTGTTTGATAAAATCGAACAACTAATAAAGTTTGAGTACTTTTACTGTAATTTAAGACAATTAGAAGGACATCTAATACGTTACTAAATCTAACGATTAATACAGGATGACAATTCAACAATGACAATCCCATACAAGAAGATAGAAAACAGGTCATTGAGAAAGAGCTATTATTTCAGGAAATGATAATAAGGTAAGTAAACACTACAGAACATGTGATTTTACAAGATAAAGCAACCAATAGAACTAAATATCACTTACCTGTCATCTTCGTGTCTCGATAATGTTGAGGCGTGAAAGGTAACAGTAATAATTTTTATTATTGTATCTGTAACAACTCCATCAAGAAGTAGTATTCTATTTCAAGATAGAATGAAATGTCGGTAATACAAGCTGACATATTACATCCCAATTAGACAGAATTATATTCCTGCTTTACGAATGACGCATTTGTAATTAGACAAGGATACGTTATAAATAGGTTTATGGGTTTATCAGAAGGGGTTTGTGGAGATTTCCTAGGAATTTCACAGATTGAAGTCATGAGTCAATTGAAGCTAGACCACTATGGAAAACCTGGAAGCACTGGACCGCCGTTTCGTCCTAGTATGGGACTCCTCAGCAGTGCGAATCCACGATCCCGCACACAGCAAGATCCGAACCCGGGGCCTATCGATCTCGCGCCAGGCGCTTAACCAACTAGACCACTGAGCCGGCATCCAACGGTGTTAATGTCTAACTTCAACCAATCCGCGAAGTTGCGCCACCGTTAAGCGCCTGGCGCGAGACCGATAGGTCCCGGGTTCGAATCTTGCTGTGTGCGGGATCATGGATTCGCACTGCTGAGGAGTCCCATACTAGGACGAAACGGCCGTCCAGTGCTTCCAGGTCTTCCATGGTGATCTAGCTTCAATGGACTCATGATTTCAATCTGTGAAGTTTATGGTTTTCGTAGTTTTAGCACTCATCGAATTGTCAAATATAGTTTTTTTATCTGAAATACTGAAAAATTGGTTCACACTTCCATTTAAGTTTAGTATCAGCTTTACCACCTAATAACTTTTTTAAATCTTCGTATTTCTCATATGAATTGCAATTCAATGAATTCAGGATTTGATTAAATAGTCGTTACTAGATTTCTAAAACAGGTTTACTGCAGTAGTCTTCCAGAGAGAATAAACTGATTCCTACATAGAATAAAAGTTTATTCTCTCATGGTGATTCACAATTTTAGCTTTTAGTTTCTTTAATCAACATGTTTACCTTGTTTTCATTTTTAAGGTCGTGAACACTGTACGGAGGGATAGTAATGTACGTAATTTTTCATTTTGACGTTTTGCTATGAAACAATTAGGAATGCTTGAAAAAATCTAGGAATAATAAAAATGCTTTTGTTACTAGCATGCAAAATGAGTGATTTGTATAAACAACCTTCACAAATGGATTCTTGTGTCTTCTAGGACTCATCTACGTCAAACAGACTTGCATATATACACAAATACATGGAAATATCCAACCATATAATATGATAAATATTTCCCTCAAAATGAAGAAAAGAACATTTCTGAAACTGAACAAGAAGTTAACGAGTGTATTTGAAATCGTTTTGTTTTATTTTTTAGCATAAAGATAAAAACAAATTATCATTACAGGTAAAAATAGGATTTGATTAGTCAGATGAGCTTTTGAGCTGAGATTACAAAAGTTCTTAGCACAACAGGTATAATTGAAACGGACATATTTCTTTAGAAAACTATCCGAACTACATCTATCTGAGCATCCTTTCATTGTTAAATGTGGACTACCGATTGTAAGCGACTACTAAGTAATATGGGAAGATAGTAAAACAAAAGTGTACCACAAAATATGAGTGGAAAAGTTATGTTCAAAAATTTAAAATTCAGATAGGTATAATAACGTTAATGCGTAGCCATTCACCGACTTCAGCAGAGAATACACTTCCCTTTTCCTTAAATTTAACGCTGTCTATACTCCTTAACCACATAACCACTTTAAATATTTTTTTCGAATATTCTAAACTTCATTTATTCTGGTTAAATTAATCTTATCGCTTAGTAGTCCTCGTATATGTCAATGAGATGTGGCAGAATTATACCAGAGAACATTACTACTTAGTGATTAGTTAGCGTAGATGAGCATACTCCATGTATCCGAATAAAATGACTTGTTCATTAAACCATCAAGTTTGACCAAGGCGTCCAACAGTGACACAACATATAATGGACATCAGATTTGTTCGGTAATAAACAGATAAAATATGTCCATATTCATATAAGTTCGCCAAGAATAGTTATATTGTTCAAGAATGCTCATTTGTATAGGCTGACCAACCTTGGTATGAACTGATGTTATGTAAAATTCCTCCTGTTTTTAATGTAACCGAATGTTGATTGAAATTTGTGTACATGTTCTCCTAACGGCATTAGTAACACATTTGTAACTTTATCAATGTTCCAGCATACAAAACAGTATAGCACTGCGTTATGATTAATCTTACTACGGTTTAAGATTATTGTAAAAGCATTCAGGAGTTTACAATCTTTTCTGATTATAGCTTACATCTGAACATTCTTTTGGTAGTATAAGCTAAAAGTTCACGATAATACTTGCAGCCATCGCTAATTTTTTATTGTTACCTTTCACTTCCTTTCAAGAGTTAGTTCTATAAACTTACAAAATAATGATAAATAAGTGATTTTTAACAGGCAGAACAGTTGAAATATCACATATATTTTGTAATATCAAATTGTGCATAGTAAAATGACCCAGTTAACTATTCGGATAGCAAATGTAAATTTCATTCATAGTAGTTTAATGCTCAGTATAAAAAACGTAGTTAGCAATACTACGTCTACGCTTTAGGAAACGACGTATTCACAAATATGGTAGATAGGTTTTATCAGAGGTACACTATTACTGAACAATGATATACAACTGTACACCATTATAAATAATTTACTAAAAAATAAATTGCTGTGTCAGGAAGTGAATTATCTATTTTGTATTTCTTAATGCTCATTTTATAAACAAATATGAAATAAATAAACTCTAACAAATGAAGATAACTTTTTTGAAAATTTTAATGATATATCATACATTCTTTGTACTTACAGCACACCACTTACAAGAACTTATAACCGTCACTAAAGGGGATGAATAATCCATTGGAACCGGACACAAATTACACCTATAACATTTGACTGATAAGGCTAAAACAGGAATTTATGAAATATAATAATGATGATGGTAATCAGCTATTTTTGTTAACAGTTTAATATATATATATGCTTGAGGATCCCTAATTGAATAAAAACTCTGTTATCTGGTAAACAGTAGTTTTTAAAGTGATTGAATTGTATACTGCTTCTTGATGAAATTAAAAGTTCTATGGTTAATTTATCCTTCTGTAAGTCAACCAGTGGTCGGCAAAATGTTTGGGACCGATCCGTAAGAGATAAGAATATTTCCAACTAAATGATAACTTACAATTCACATGAAGGTTAGGAAAAGTTAGAATATTTCTCATAAATTTGTAGTGTCATTTGATGTTTTTTTACTTTAGAATAAACTGTTGAAACTGTACATCAGGACTTTTCCCTTTCCACTTTACTAATCAGAGAATTCGATCAGCTTCTGATGTCTACTGGAAGTATACAAAACTAGTTCAATAATAAAATGTGCTAACAAACTAATGGAGATGCTAAGGTGAACCTTTTTTCCCAAATTTCACCACATACGGGTGTAGTTAAAGCATACAGTCAATGAAGTAACATTTTACTGGGGATTTCCTAGTGAAGTACTTACTGTTTGTAATATTCTGACACATTATTTATACGTTTTTAGTCCGTTCAGTGATGAACATAATATCAATGACTTTAATATGAGATACAAAAAGAACGAAAAACTACATTTTCAAGATATCAAAGTCCAGTAGGTTCTATTTGAGAAGCTATAAATATATTTCTACCCTAAAGTCATGTGGATTGCAGTTGATCTAAGTTACAGTGGCTTCTCACCAATAAGTTAAAGAGAATGAATTGTATGAACCCTTTCTGATCGTCGTCTCAGATTTTACTCCAAGGATAGGTTATAAGAAGAACTTCTAGTCACTGAAAGATGTATATAGGTACATAGGTAATCTTATAAATTCCCCAATAAGTGCACTAAAAAACTGAACGAAGAACATAACACGGTTGAGAAGGAAGTTTATTTAGTTCACCTGGGATTTGAATGAAGCACAGAATAAATGTTGAATATGATTCGTTTAACGTCCTAGCATGCACTATTCGAAAAATGAAGACGATATTCAAACTTATTTTGATGCAATTCATATTTATACTCACAACCAAAACAGTGTTTACGCAAGTTGTATCTAGAACACTCAATAATTTGACTGAATCTAACCTTGATATGTTTTACCTGTAGCCAATTATCAATCGATGAGCTATGTAATTCGTTTTTTAATAATGACCGTCCTACATAATCAACTGTATTACTCTATCACTGTTATTCATATGTGTGCTTCACGATTCATTCTCAATTCTTGTACATGTTGAATATTTCTATCTACATGTTAATTAAATCAACATTGTGTCCTCATTGTTTGGTCATTAAATTTTCACCACGATCTGATAGACTCATACATCAGCAACATAGAATTCTCAGTGGAAAGAGAAATCACTGTCATATTCCACATTTACATAGTCTGCTAACATTGTTTTGATATTCCCCAATGTACACTGTAAACGTCTTTACAAATTCCAGTAAAATTAGGAATGCCCGCTACCAAATCAAACAACCTTAGTTATTATTCTAGTAAACAATTCAATTGACATGTTACTTTCAATAACAATACATATATTTGCATAATACAAATAATAATAGAAACGTTACTGAATGGAATAATCACTTATCAACATTTTCAAACTCACTGTAATCTGTATTCCCTACAAACACCAATATCATCAATAAAATCTGTATGTTACTTTCCATGATACTAAACGATTACAAACACACTCATCATATTTCAACTGTTCAACACTTAAATATGGATTTTCTATCATAATTTGTAAATAAAAATGATTTGCTGAATTTGTGGATCAAATTATTAATTTTTAATTTGAAGTTTATCAGTTAATACTTTTATAAGTAATTTGAGTAAATGGTTACACTAGCATGATTCAGACAAGGACTGTTTGTATAGATTACTAGCTTTGAACAATTAATAAGTATGAAATTTAAGAACTTTATATTTATATTAACTATAATGTCAATATAATATCGTACTAAAAATATCATCAAACCACAATTTTTAAGTGGATAATTATAGATCCAATGATTGATTGAATCAAGAATGTGGTTCAGAGAAGAAATCGCTACGATTTTTTTTTCATTTCCTAAACTATATAATCACAGTGCAATATATCTTAAAACATTTCATTGTAAAACTTTACGTTATCATATTACATAACCTAATTTCAAAATTATTTTTCTTCATCTAATAGCTATGATATTTTTCTTTATTGAAATCATGAGTCAGTTGAAGTTAGACCACCATGGGGTGCGGGATCGTGGATGCGCACTGCTGAGGAGCCTTACAATAGGACGAAACGGCTGTCCAGTGCTCCCAGGTTTTCCATAGTGGTCTAGCTTCAATTGACTCATGATTTCAATAAATATCCACAACACCTAAACTGATAGCTATGATATTCTTATTCATTTCAAGTCAGCCTCAAAATTCATGAAACAACTTTAGTATAATTATTTAGTTTTATTTCTTCATCTGATTAATCATTGTTATCATTAGTGATTATTATATAAATAGTTTTTTTAAAGTATTTTCATTAGTAGTTTATAAATATTGTATTCCAGATAAGTAATTGTGAAGCATTCTAAGATTGATAAGTAAAATATGATCTGAGAACACATTTTTTTCATATAGCTCAGTTCATACATTGCTTTAGAATTAATTTTACTTTTATTACATACTTACAGTTTCAGTAGTTTAAATCAACCTATTACCAACAGTCAATAAAACACTGAGTTCGTGTTAACGTCAAAACTAAATTAATATCTTGATGTTGTGAAAATTTAAGATATTAAATAGAATGACGACAGAACTTAAAGACATATTCAGCTGCCAGAGTAGTAAAACTACATAAATATGAGATTTCTATGTTGGTATGGGCTATAGATAAAAGAGATGAGATTTTTTGTTGTTGTGTCGATATCCTTTGACCTAAGGAGTCGAGGAGAGACTCTAATTTATGGACGACCTTTGAACGAATGCTAAGTGACCTTGAGAACATTAGCCAGTCACCGGAGTAAAAATATATTATACGAAACCAAGGAAATATAGTGGATACACTTCTTTTACGTGGTTCAAAAACTTGTCAAAGTTAGAAAGAGGTTCAGAGGTCCTAAAATCGTAATGTATGCAATAGAGAAAATCATCCATATGGCTACAGAATAGTCGGCCTCTGGATCCATGATAAAGTCCCAAAAACTCTTTCAGCCTCGACCACATAGCTTCAATATTGCTTGTGTGCACTCCGGTTGTTGAGTACACAAAATACCCCTTGTGGATAACGACACGATGCACATAACCAAGCCTATGTAGGAGACTGTAGGCTCTCCAATCATCCTTATATATTTTAGTACCTGGCTGCAGCCAGTGTTACAGGTACTTTTATTATCCAGTTCGCGACAATTGTCATAATTTGCCTCAGTTAGGAATTATATATGGGGTTTTTATCAAGAACTGGCATCAGCTATAATGCCAGAAATCTATTTAGCCAAACGGATGAAAGGCTTTCGTGCCCAACTTCGAGATCTGTTATCTTATCTGATTGGTTCGTCCGTAAATTATGGTCTCACCGTTTTATTTGTTATAGCCGCTCAATTATTACGTTTTGTGCAAAATTCCTTGTGAACCCATCATACGTTAGCATTAAGCACCAAAGTTGGCGCCGTAACCTTGAGATCTTTCAAACTCCCCTGATTGGCTGGTCCATAAATTAGAGTCTCGTCGGAGTCGAAAACATCAAGTGAGTACATTATCAGAACAATCTTCAAACCAATCAGTTTGTTCATATATTATCATAATAGATTATCTTTTTAAGTTACATATTCATACAAGAAACCGAATAGCCTTTGTGAATTAATTAATGTACATTAAATATTTAACAGTGTCAAACTTAATTACCTAAATGATTTTCCGATATTCTTAATTGCTCATAGAATGAACAAATACCAGCACTAAATCTATTCCTCTGTTGAGAATGATTAGTTCATTGTTACACTGGTTTTTAATGTAGATATTATAGAAAAACCAGTAATCTGCCATCTCTATCACATTCAGAACTAATCATTTAAATATAAAACTCTATCCTATAATATGTTTAATGATTAGTGAATTTTCAAACTACAACTGAAGTTTACCTTTGTCACTTTTAATATTTAAAAAAGAAGTTGCTATGGCTACAAATATTTGCAACTTTGACTACAATTATAATGATTGTCACTATTAAATTGCAGCATAAGAATTTATATTTAAAATATAAATTAAAAACAATTAAGCTGAATTTGTGTTTAAGTTCACTATTAAATTTGTAAGATTTTCATGTCTTAACAAAATTATAGTATCATTTTGCTTAGTAATATGATATGACGTGTGGGACTGCAGGTTATGTTAAGCAGCGTTTTATTGATCGATCACAGTGACACGTAAACACGTACGGACAGCCTAGAGTCTCGATTGGTCCCACTCCCCTGTCTAGCCCAGTCAGTTGAGTCCAGAACACAAGCCACAGCCTCGGAGATATGAATCATTATATTTCAACCATACTTTGTTTATATACCAATCAAGCATACCACATCGTGCCATAAAATAGAAAACAACATTTTGTACAATATTCAACAAGTGAACAGATATCGACCAATAGGAAATGTCCATTTAAAGTCCAAGGACACCATTGGACTTAACATGATAATTATTGGTCTATTCCTCCGCATCCACAACATAATATTTATTATTTATCATTGAAATTATGAAGATGATCATTGAAATGTGAAGTAAATGAAACTATTCTAATTCTAGTTTAAATCATTAGATTCATTTCTGAATCAGTTGTGTTTGTCCGTCGAAGTTTCCGTTCACATCAACAGCAAATGTTAGTATTTTTATTCTGAGAATTAATAAAGATTACGCGTCAATTTACGGGTGTGATCAAACTGATACGAAGTGTAAATAGAATGTTATG